TAAGGACGCTGCGAGTACTTCAAAAGCCTCGACATCAACGAGCAGGAAGAGGAAACTCAGTACCATTAGATCGCCATCACCCGCCAAGAAAGTGGCACGCACCATTGCCACTGCAAAGAGAAGAGTCATTTCCATCGACAAAGATTGGTAAGTATGCATTTAAACTTCAAAATGTCGAGAGAAAAACTACTGTAAAATGACTAATTTTCACTGGGTTTAAATTTCCCTGATTTACCATTTCAGGCATATTCAGTGGGTTTTAAATTCACGGTTTCGCCATTTAGATAATGTGTTCTATGCTAAATTTTACATATTCACTGGGTTTTAATTTAGCGCATTTTCCCAGTCAGCGAAATAAGCTAAATTAAAACCCAGTGAATAATTACCCCCTTTACAGTAACCAAAAACAAAACGAGACAAATTAAGACATGAACTGGAGAACAATTGCTATATTGTCTACATCATTGTTATTTAAACCCCTTCTGTGAGTCACATGTTGTGTTTTGTGCAATCATCACTTTACGTGTTTTCTAAATCTGCTATCCTATTCACTTTCAGTACTCAGACCAGATCCAGATCTGTATGTCCACGAACAGGCATCTGTACAGTTTGTCACCCTACGTCAACATCATTATCATCGGGACGTGGAAAGAAACGTACGTCACTTCCTGTCACCATGCCCATACCAACTACTGCCAGAGGTAAAAGAAGGGCGCATGGAACGAAAAGTCCAGTCAAAACTCCCAGTGTACGAGTTTCTGCGTCTACTTCAACTACGCCGAGTGGGGACGTAGATTTGGCTATCGGAAAAGCAGTGTCTAGAAAACAAGTTAGACGTTTAGTCAAGAAGTCTATCGCCGTGAATAAACTAAGAAAAATGTAAATATAAAATATATATAGCGCAATTCGGAACACTTGATGTCATACATGTCAAATTGCTTGGCGTGAGCCACTTTCTGACAAGTCCCCGATCCGTTTGCTGTCAGATTACATCATGTTTGTTGTATATAGTTAGCTATGTTTTGTATACAGTATTACAATTTTCGATATAATAATGTAAATATTTGTCTATTTTTACTATTAAATATTTTTTAATATACAGACTGGTTTAAATAATTATTTGAAATAATTGTGGTTTTTATTAAACGTGGCAAGCGGTGTTTGTTCTTGTCGACGTTGTTTTTGGACAGTAATGAACAGGTGCTTTCTGTTCGGGGATCGGGGAACTTCGTCTCGCTTGGTTAGTAACACTTACACGTAGAGATGCCAGATTCGACCCAAAGGAATACAAATTAGTTCATTACAGGTAATCCAGCTTTATTCTTCCAACCAGTCAGCTGAGGTAACCCCTCGCTCTCTATTTCTCCACTTCTCCCGCTCTCCCCTCTTTCTTCCTCTTTCTCTCCCCCTTACCAGGAGTTTTAAACATGCGATCAGTCAATCGCTGCAGTCGTTGGCACGATCACGTGATTACCAGGAATGTGTCTAACTGTTAACGCTCAGACAAACAATAATATTATTGGTTGTCTGAGTTTAAAGCCTTGCAAAGTTACGACTACTAAATACAATAAGTAAAATATCTATTTATCAAATTCCTGTAATATATGATGATAATCTCAAGCCTAAACATGCAAGTTGTTGATTCTAAACAATAGTGTAACGGCGTGTGAACCGAATGTGCGTACGTGAAGTCGCCATCATAACAATACCATTATTACGAGGAGCAATTTCTGGAAAAAACGGTGATTTTTTTTTTTTTTTTTACAAATAAAGTTATTATATTCGCTGTTTACTTTGCTTAGTC